ATAATCTTGCTCTTAAAACCTATTTTCCATCTTTAATACCATAAAATTGGGTACTACTGCTTGCCTTTGCGTACCTTGTGTGTATAACACATTTGCTAAACATTGAGGAGCCTAGCTAGATTCTTGATTTACTAGATTCTTGATCGGTTGATCATTTCCATTGGGCAAACGGGGCACAGTGCCCACTTAATTAGTCAACAAACTATTAAATAGATTTGCTTAAGGCTTCTAACCCTTCTTAAATTAATGGCCACTAATCAGAGCCAAGTTTCTTCTTCCAAGAGTCGTCGGCATGCAAAGGTTTTAAGGTTGCGTTCAAAGCTTAAACTTCATACCAACTGAAAAAACTGCCACACTAACCGCAACCACGGGTCTTTCTGTTAAACATGGGCCCGGTTTGGAAGAGAAAAAACGCAGCTGCTGGTGGACCCAAATAGCTTTTTGACGTGACATGATTGTTGGCCTGGCAATGATTCATCTGGACCCACCAGGTATGGCCCACACAGGCCCAAAATGCTCTGCCCACTTCAGCCACCACCCCCACTTACAACTTCACTTCTGCCAACTCCCCCCACCTTCCCACAAATCTGAATATCCTTCCATTAGTTCCATGGGCCTCTTCTCTTTTGAAGATTTTCATTCATTTTAATATTTCTTAAGGTTGGGTAGGAGAATTTGTTGAGTTAGATGGATCAAAAGTGGATTGCATCTGCTTATGAGTTTTTTTTTTTTTTTTTTTTTGGGTACTATCTATCTCTTCAAGTGAATGACCTTAGTTAGGTGCATGGTTCACAACACATGCAATGGTGCATTTTTGCAATGCAAATTTGGTTAGAAAGAGAGGGCATAATTTGCAACGTATTTCAAATAATTGTAATTAGCTTTTATCATGATTGTGATGTTTGCAATAATTTAATTCATTGTAGGAAACCCTTACCTTACCCCATGGAATGATTTTTCTCTTCAAAGGAGTCTGTCTCAATCTAACCTCATAAAATGTCTTGTTTCTTGCTTTGTCTTTTCATATCAATTGAAGTGGTGCCCCTTTGTGGTCAAATTTGTAATCATAACAAGAAGAAAACAGCAGTAACACAAATTTATCAACTTTTAGCCCCAACCCCCACAAAATCTCCGCACGCACCCTTAACATCTCAATAATGAATGTTTAATGAGGCTAAAGTTTTTTTTTTTTTTTTTTTTTTTTTAATGAACATATATATTGGAGAGCGCAGGTATAAGCTTTATTCAACATCAAGTATCTTATCGCACACGGAACCCTTTTGAAATCATCATCACATCAAACATCGACTGAAGAAAGCTTTTAACTATATTAAGACTTGAGATCGACAATCCTTTTGAACGAAATTATTGGCGTGATATCAAACAGATGTATCCTTTATAGAAAGTGGAATAATCATATATAGCTTTGAAGCTTATTCTATCTACTTGTTGTTATATAGTAAACGATGATATTAACATCACTCTTGGATTCTAACTAGCTAGATGCAAATTAAGCGCACCACCTACAATGGTCCACAAGGAAACGTGCTGCTGCGAATTGACACTTGTTGTTGTGTCTTCGTCTGTAAAAACCATGCACTATACTAACTTCCCAAGCTGCAAAGAAATTATTATGGTATCCCAGCCCGAAAGGCAGCTCAATAATTAAGGATAGAAAGTAAAATTCCATGGCCTTCAATTCCATCCCTTCTTCCGTCGGATATCAGCCAAGCTTTTTGAGAGTGAAAGATCTGACGGAATCCTAATGCATGCCCATCTGCAGAGCCATTCTCCAAGATATGTATACTTACTCACGGAATCCATATATTTGTAAGGTCTCTTTCTCACGGATTATTTGCCTTTAATGATATAGTAAGCGCAAAGGGCGAATTGGCCCTTTGGCTCCGTGAAGTCGCACAATTCCTTTGCTCCTTCAACGTGCCCCTTTGTCCAAAACATGATGAAGACAAATCGAACGGTGTGAAGAACAATTCTTGCAAACTTGTTAGCGTGCCTTTGTAAAATGCAAATACGCTTTCTTGAAACTTCTTGCCCTTGGCCGAAAGGAAGCTACAAAAACAAAAAGAAGTCAATACACAAGCCAAGTTGACAACTACTGTGTGCTTGAACAGCTTGAATATTCCTCCAAATCGAAGATTATGCAGTGAGGTGACTGGCTTGAGAAAGTTAACAAAGACATTTTATGATATCTCGTGCTTATATGCTTTGCTTGATTTGATTGCATCCTAGCACAGAATGACATGGAGAAGTTGAAATGTGATTCGTATTTGCATAAGCCCGAATATACAGCAAATTCCACGTGCTTATTAGTTGCTCAGAAAAGAAAAAAAAAAAAAAAAAAGGCGCTTATCACTCAAAGAACACGCTAGCAATTATACGAAAAGATGCCATTTTGCTAGCACTTTGATTATATTCATGCGCCGTTGCCACCACGCCCTTAAGGTCCATTCGTCGGCCTTTGTTTGGATAGTCAACTTATTCTAAATATTATTTCGCTTGTATCATAAACACATTTTTTAACTCACCTTTTTATATCCCTAACCACCTTTTTATCTCACATACATCACATCACAAAAAATGCTACAGTAATTATTCTAAATAATATTTCAAATAATACCCTATCCAAATAATATTTCAAATAGTACTAAAAGAATTACTATGTAGAAATTACTATGGGTTTGCTATTCTAGTCAATGGATGATATGTAGAAAGAATTACTACTAAGATCATGGTTCGGTATCGGCCGAGTTGTAATCGGAACGAAGGGAACCGGCACGATACTGATTCCTAAATCACGGATATTATCATATCGGGGACGATTCGCTCTGACTTGGTTGATATTAGTCAATTTGACTCCGTGAAGCATGATATCATATCGGCTGATATATCCGAGTCCACTCGGAGTCGACTCGGATATTTTTTTAAATTATGCATTTTTTGATATTTTCTAATTTTAGTAATTTTTTCAAAATTTTTGGAAACTTTTATGTGCTATAATATGCGTATCATCTGATATTCAACTGATATGCCGTGATGGATGTGGAACAATCGAGACCGCAACGTGACTGCGACCCGCGATGGCGAACCATGACTAGGATTTCCACATTAGTTGGCTTCCAAGAACAGCCAGGCAAAGTTGAAAACGTATATGATACAAATACAAACAAATTAAATTGAAAATGCTTTTACTCTTGGCCCTTGAATCATACTAAGATTTTGTAGTCCTTAGACAATAGCTAGCTAGATAGCTAGCATTTCTTGTTAATGGCAGCTACATCAATGAGGAATCAAATGAAATTGTTGAAGGAGCGATGCTTCAATTTATATATGAAGGGCACTGATTCCCCTTTGATTAGCAATTCTTAAGATATACGTGGATTAAGATTTTGTTCTTTTGGAAGCTTATTTAGTGCTCCACAATCTGGATTCTTGAGTGTGAGTTGACCAATCGAGCAGCTACTGCAACCGCAACCTTGTAGTCTCAAAGGAGAGGGACTAAAACCCCACTTGAGAAGTGAACTTATAATCTTTTCTTGCAATTTGTACAATAAATATGAATGCATCGAGTACTAAAATATTCACGATCCATATCTTGTTAAAGAAGAAAGGGAACATTCTTTTTATCCTAGAATGATCTTTCTGGAGATAAGAGGATCATGCATGAACTTGCAGAAAAAGTGAAATAAATTGAGATATCATCATATCCACATGTAGCATGCTGGCAAATGAGAGGTAACATCTTAGCGGCACCCACTACTTGTAACGATGACTCTGCATCTCACATTTAGCTGACTCCACTTTTTTCGTTGATTGCAAATTCACTAAATTTAAGATATTGTTCCTTTCGAACTTTCATAAATAACATCATTGTCTTGTTTGAAGTCTTTTCAAACGGTTAAGAAAACAAAAACCAATGTCGGGAAAGTGCTCCGTTCGTCTTGTGAAATTTGATCCAATCATGTATGAGTTTGTTTGAAGATCAAATATCAAAGACCAAATATCAAAGAACAGCACTATTTTTGTAGATTGCCATGACTTGTCCATCATAGATGTAGAATATCGTTAATGAGGACCCTAAGGGACCTTTTGCTGTCAAATGCTTGAGTTTGATTAAAGTAAAAACGCTTGGCTGCAATACCATGCCTTTATCATCAAAGAAATCAAGCCAACATCCATCCTCAGATGCTTGAGTTGACCTGGCTCAGGATATTCATGACTGATCTCCACGAGCGTGCAGGAGGACAAGGCCAGAGTAAGCATCTATTAGAATTTAGAACCAGGCAGGAAAGGAATAGAAAACCAACTTTTAGTGGCATTGTAAACCAACCTCCAGGAAATTAGTTTCCAACGTACGATTCTCCAGATGACAGATATAGCAGGAAAGCAGACAGGACAACCGGCTATGGTTGGAAGTTTGTCTCCGGTGCAAGGATAAGGCGTTCTTCTTCCGAAACTAGGATGATCTTCGGCTACAAATGCTAACTGATTCATCACTGACATAGTTCTATCTTCAAGTGTCGCAACATGGAGATAGACTGGAGACTAGAAGAAGATTGACCAGCTTCCCTGCCCCCATCTTAACAAGTTCAATTCTAGACTTTGCATTCTTCTTTGAATGCATCTCAAAACAAAGCCTGAACCCGACCGGGGTCAAGCCTTGGTGCAACTGCATGATACAATTCACTACTAGGGGCTTTCACTCTCAAGAAGCTTCCGGAGCTATTTTGTCTAATGGTCCCGTAGAACATTAAGACCAGCCTTGAAGAACATTTCCTTTGAGTCCAATACTCATCCCTGGACTCCCAAGGCATCTTGTGTGAGCTTTTGCTTTTAAAATTGGTAATTTCGACTTAGCCTTTTGTTCCAAAAACAGCAAAAACATAGTTCATCTGTTTTATCTAATAGGAGTAAGGATAAAGATGGATTTCAAAATTCAAAACCATATATTATTACACGCACGATACTCGTGAAAAAGCACATCAACAACCAACAGAATTAAGCACTTGATAAGCACTTTCTTTGAAACATCTGTTTAGTTTAGTGCTTGGCTATAAGCCAGGATCAATGCTGCCTCAATCTTGATAAGAGGAATATATAGAAACAAGACAACTGCAATTCTAACCAGTATTGTCAGAACTCAGGTTAAAAAATGGTATAAATAAAACCAACGTTAAACTTACCACATACAATAACTCAAAATTCTACAATAATTTACCTAGACAACCAGCACCCTATATCCCAAAGAAAGCCAAACGTAAACACAGTATTGCTTCAGAGCCAAGGGTTAGACAGCAGTTGCAATTTGAACGCTCAACCACTGGTTGAACTACATCTCCGGTTATAGGATCACCAACTCTACATGCTTGGGTACCAGTTGTTTTACCTCTTCCAGAGCAGAAGTTATGGCAGCCTTGCGGACATGACCATGGAGATTATATTTAAGATGATCAGCTAGTTGACTCCGAGGATCAATAACAATTTTTTCAAGGGCAGCAGCATTCTCAACAAAATACATGAGAAGTTCAACATCACTAGTGCGACCACAATATCCACGCAACTCAATCACTTCAAGGAATATGAGGGCACATTTTGCACCCTTTACCTTATCTCTGTTTTTCTTTGAAGGTGTTGCCCAAGCTAACTGTTAAGAAGATATATTGGCAATTAAACAAGCATCACAAGGTATGACAACTGGTAAGAGAACACAAAATGCAAGACTAACAAAAGCTACAAATATCAAAGAACAAACTTTTTTTTTTAAAAAAATCGAAGAACAAACTTTGAGACCTAACAGGACAATTAACAAAAGTCTGTAACAGTAATATTCTAGCACATGGTGCTGAGGACAAACATAATTGCAGCATCTAGAAGTAAGTTGCAGACATAAAAATCAACTATGTAGTAGTAAGTTTCACATGAACATAAAAGAAACGTTATCTTCTATAGCACAAATCAGAATCATGTTAATCTAGAAGAACCATGACATCAGCAGAAAAGTAACCAAACATAGATTGAGAAAAGCACCCAAACATAGATTGAGAAAAGCATTCATCCAAGTCATATACCCATTCGTTGAAAATGCTTTCTAAGTTCCTCTACATTCCATTTCTGGCTATCCCACCAAACATACGTCATTCTAGTCTCAAGGCATTACAAGAAGGCAGCAACTGACCAACAAAATAGCAAGCAGCAGTTTCAGTGCATTAAGTAGCAGAGAGGCTGTGTTGAATCCAACAGAATTTTGTCCCTTCACCGGACCCTCAAGTACGAAAAGATTGGGCCAATGGGAAAACTCAGAGATTATATTTCTTAAAATTCTGATTTCGATATTTAAAGCAGTTCCAGCACAATAAATGGCAATGAAATGCTTTGGACTACTTGAGACTATTCTTTTACTATTTATATATCATGCTTACGGACGAGGACAAGTAAAATTGGTACATTAAAAGGGAGGTTCAAGTAAATCTCTCAGCTCTTTCTGGAAGCAAGCACCCACAGACTTTACATTGTCAAACAGTCCAACAGGAGCGACAGGATAGATATGAATTTATCTGTCCTGAAGACCTAACAAGATTCCCAATCATCTCTCCTCTATGATGTCAGCAGCGATACGGAACTGAAGTGCTTCTTATTGGATGCTTAGCTGAGTTGATTCTAGCACTCTCCAGCTGCAAGCTATTTCATGAATTGCTTTTGACTGCTGATAGCGTTTCTTTAGCAACAAAAGAGGAGAAAAACAGACAAATTTTTCTAGAAGTAGCAGTGTAGGTGGTTTTAGAATATTAAAGTAAAGGTAGGCCCAAAGAATGAACAATACTTTATGGTGCATCGCACTTCTCTCAGGATAAAACTGCTCTAATCACCATTTACTTTCGCTTGCAAATTGCAGTTCCAGAGTCTGTAGTTTCTTATGTATGTTATTTTTCTCTGATAAGAAAATGCAATAAGTTAGCATGGTGATGCCCTTTCACAATATTAGCATTCCAGGAAAATCTTCAAGACTGCTATCTCATTAGAAACTAAGACATTCTGGACAGACTATTACTATCCGACCAATATCTCAAGTTATTTATGAACTGCAGTAAGTGCAGTAAGTCCTTCATTCACTGAGCAATACTACCTTACCAAGAATCACAATACGCAGTTCCCCTTAAATCCTACCCCATAACTAAACACTTCCCAATCTTTAATTTCATATGCTTCAGTGAGCAATAAGCCGAATGCATTGCAACCCAAATACACATATTGACTAATTCCTCAGTATGCCCTTCCCACTTTGACATTTCTTTCTTCAGTGGACATGCTTCATTCTCATCTTTCTCATCAAAAGAGTAGAGATTTCACATTCTCATATTTCCCCTCAAAAGAGTACGATTTCTTGCATTTACATTCCTATGCTCATCTATCTTTCCCCAAATGTCCCGTCATCGCTCACTCAGAGTCATCAAAGTGAAGGGACAGATGACCTTTTCAAAAGTTAATAAATTTCTTGTTTATAGGGATTACGATAAATGATGGAAGTACAACTTACAAAAAAAATCTCTTTTAAGGGAAATCTGGCAGAGGCTCAATTAGCATGGCTATGGACCCTGAGGATATAAACCAGCCACTTCGCTCTGCTATTGAATACCAAACAAATAAAAAATTAAAAAGCTCAAAATCTGAGGCCTTCTCTCTTGTCCCCTAATTGGCTCTTGAGTGCTTGCTCCAATACAGTACAAACGACACCATCCCATCGCCACGAAAGCAAACAGACCAGATGTTTTGCTCTAAAGCGATGCAAATTCTCTGATTTTAAACCCTTCCAAGAGGAAACGTAGGTTGCATAGTTGTTTCCCAGACAAAAAGGATTGATATGGGGTATATATTTCCAATATGCTCTCCTCAGAAGAAATCAGACTTTGCGCACTCAAGCGATCTCATCGGGTGCTCCTCAACTTAAGCAATATCACAATTGGAAAGGTTCTCAGCAACCAGTGCCAGGCAAGTTTTTTTTTTTCTTTTCATATTTTGGGTGGTTCAACCCTTGAGTTGTTAGAAAAAGGGAAAAGAAATTTAGTTGTTATTGTTTCTTCAAAGTCTGCCAATAACCTTCCTATTCTTATGTTGATTTATTACTTCTGCTACTTGTGCGTCGATGTGCGGAACCTAAAAAAAAGTGCCAAACGCGAGCCATGTAAAAATTGAGGGACATTCAGAACTGGGTTCAGATTCTAAACTCAATGGTGGCAAGAGATTTATTTTAGCTGCACTCCACTTTTGTGATGTACTCCATCTGGGCATCTGATGAGTTTCTCAATGTGGGTTTGTTTCTCTCTTTCACAAACTTCTCTAGCTTTGCTTCTCTCTGACAAACAGAGCAGCAGCAAGAATCTAAATTCTGTAAGGCTTTTTGGCATTAAAATTTTAAGGATGCAACATGGCAAATTTCTATCAACATGGTTCACAGCCTTGCTGGCGGGCTGAGCCTATACGAGTATTTTCCGAAACTTTGAGTTAAGAATTAAGCTTTCGGAGTACATTTCTCATACATGTGAATAAATGTTTCCCTGAAAAATGTGCACTTTAAGACAGCAGCATTTCCAAGAAAATTACAAAGGATGATAATTTAAGAAAATTTTGAGTATTCTACGAGACATCGTGATCAACTAGAATTAGGCAAAGCATATTATTCCATTCCGTACAAATCACAACATTATTAATGATGTATCTTAAAAACAGATCGTATCCACTGCTGACCGTCATTCAAAGTAAAAAGTGGTCCAAAAGCGGCTCTTATACGAAGTTCACAGAGGACCCTTGCAATTTCGTCAGCCTCATAAGTTCATTTTTTATGAAAGGGGAAAAGCCATATAGTTAGCAGTTCCACTATTAATGCTGTAGGTATAGTCTCCTCCAGACAACGGCAACAAGAATAACGAGAAAAGAAGCATGTGAATGCCAAAAGGGCAAAAAAACCAGGTTGCTGCATAAACTTGAAAGTTAGTGGTAACCTTATCCTATTTGAAAAACAAGTAAAAGGTTGACAGTGATCGAGTGTGCAGTAACAGGTTAGAAATCCTTTAAAAATGTGGCTTTAGATGGGATCCTTCAAAGACGAATCAAGAAGTTGCTCATGACAATATGTAGCACTTCCATATTGGCAACTCTGAAGGAAATTATGAGAGTCAATCAAATGAGAAAGTGGCATAGCCAGAGCATTGTCCAGAGATTGACAATGCAGTAAACAAGGGAGATTGCCTACATATTTTCAGACTAATATACAATCTGATATAATGAATCAAATCCATTTACCAAGTCAGATTGACCAACCAATCAAGCATGAATAAGAAGCGTTACCACTGCAGATATTAATCTACGTGGGAAAAAAATGTAAATGAGTAAAGCAGAATAACAGAACTGGATACATCCTTCTCACCAATCCAAATCAAGAACATTTGCACTCATGGAAACAGAAAAAAAAAAAAAAAGGCATATATTTGCACTTAGGGACTTTTCTCTATCAAAGGAGTGAATACAAAGCTTGTATCTCCATGTTTAAAGTACAAACACGTACCTGCAATACAAATTTGCGCAAGTTTGGACATTCCTTTATGATGGAAGTCACTCCCATTAGACTATAATCACCCCAAGCACCAGCGTATATCACCAACTCCTTTAGTTGACTTAGTTGAGGAAAGTCACGAAGATTCACAATATCCTAAGATGGTAAAATCGTCAAGCAAGCAGTTGTTAGCCCGTGTGCAAAATACTAAAAGAATTATAGTCTGAAACTGTATAAGCTAACCTTAGCCATAGAATCTCTCAATTCAAGACGCTCTAGCTGAGAGGAAAAGAAGGAAAACTGAGAGAGCACACGGCAAAAAGACACAGGGAGCTTTTCACGAACAAATACCTCGACAAGCATAGGAACATTCACAAGTACAAGGTGTTCAACTTTGCATATCCCAAGCGAGACAAGGTTACAGTCACAAATCTTAATTGATTTAACATTGTAGCAGAAGTTTATGTCCAAGTGCTTCAACACAAGGGACGAACCAGAGACTAGCAGATTGACTAACTTTCCTGAGCCAACCACAGCCAACCGTTCAAGAAAACGACAATTATGCAGGAAATTCTCAATAGCTTCACCAGTAATATTTACATATTTCAAACACAACGCTCTGAGGGACCCAAACTCAATCAATTTAGACAAGCCATTATCTATATTAAGTAAGCGATCTGGAAAGTTACAACATTGTGAAGGATCACGGCCCAAGTTATGACTTGTCAAGTCCACCTCTAGCCTCTTTACGGTCCTTGTAAATGCATATTCAAGCCATTTGTCAATCTCACTCTGCGATGATACGTCCAAGTCAAAGCACAGCCTAAATTCATCCAGGGTCAAGCCTTGGTGCAGTTGCGTGATTCGGTTCACCCAATTGACATATCTACCCCTTTCTCTCCCAAGCAGCTTTTTTGGATTCCTCTCAATGCTGTCTAAAGATTCTGAAGCATCAAAATCCAGCCTTGGAGTATATTTCCATAAGTTTATCCATCGACTCGAAAGGACACTTGTTTGAGCTGCTTCCTTTAATGTTAGCAAGGATAGAATAAAAACAAGAATCTCATCAGGCAATTGACTCATCCGATCGTCATGCATCACCTGACTAAGATGATGCTGCGGAGGGTGGAGCCTATTTGAACACTGCACATCAAAGGGGAAAGGAAAAGGGAATCAGCAAGCAGAAGCAAAATACATCTCGAATCAACTACAATACGCTAAAGCTGAATGAAAATAAGTTTGCAAATTTTCAGTATCTGGAACCTAGAATCTCAAAGAACCTCTTAGTGAAATCACTAATGTGAAAGCTTTAAAATCAAAAGACACCTAAAGAACCATTAAAAAGTCGCCTGAACAGGAAAAAGTTTGAAGCTTTACAGTGCGGAGGTATGAAGTTACCTGCTTTAATTGCCAACCAGTTGAAAACTTTGCGCGTTTCCCCATTAGGTTTCAAACCTTAAGCTTTCCTTCACTCTTGCTTGCTCACTCCCCCGAGTAAGAGAGATGTATACAAGGGCAGGCGAAAAAAATGAGAACACCAGTTGAGCCAATTAGGAGATTTTCATAAACAAGTCCCAAACATACAATGGAGAAACTTGTACTCAATGGAAACCATTGAAACAAGAAGGGATGAGGTGGGGGGAGGGAGAAGCGGTAGAGGTGTCTTCTGCTTCTTCTCTTTAACGATAATCTACGAAATCCACAAAACAGATATGCAAAGAAACGGGAGATGGATGGAGTCTAAATGCTCATACCAGCGATTGAGGCTGCTTCAACTGTGTGAAAGTGAGGAAAACGGCGCTCACTAGGACATAAACATCGACATAAGGATTCTTATATTCATTGTCTTCTTCCATGAAAACTTCTCGTCTACAACTGTTGAGATTCCTTTTGTATTTTTGGAATGGTGGTCGCTTTGATCTACACTGAACTCTCTCCGCCGCTGCCACCGTTCACTTGAATCCTCCATATTTTCTTCTTCTCTCATAAAACCAATAGCTAGTTTGGGAGAAAGGAAACGAAAAGATAAGAAAAGACAGGCTTTGAAAGTGTTTGGGAGCAAAAACTGTGAAGGGAAAAAAAATATTTGAAAGGATTTCACCTTCCCCTTGTAAAGGAAAACTTTCCGTAAAAAGGGAAGGAAAGTGTGGAAGAAGTTTTAAGTAAATTTTTAAATACAACAAAACTACCCTTAAAATTCTGATATAAAAAATTTTAATCTCCAAGAGTCCCTCACTACAAAATTCTCGCTAAAACACCTTCTTTCACTTTATAGAAATGATATATTTGTAAAGTTACTTGTTTAAATATCTTTTCTTTTGATTTGTATTCAACTCCCAAATAAAAGATAACTATTTACCTTCCTTTCTTTCTTAAAACTTCCAAACAACTTAGGGCTTGTTTGGAACCAAGTTTTTTTGTCAAATTTTTTAGCTACTAATTTTTTAACAACTTTAACTACAGGAATTCAAAAAAATTTATCAAATTTTTTAACCTACACATTTTAAAATATCTAATACACAAAAAACTTTCTCTTTTCTTCTTCTTTCTCCCCTACCCCTATCCACCGCCGCACCTTCATCGCCGGTCACCACCACCTCCGTCGCTGTTTCCGGCGCCGGCCTATCCCCTTTTTTTTCCTTCCCCTCTCCCTCTCCCTCCCTTCCCTTATTGGCCACCCTCCCGCTTCCTTAGCTGCGATCTGGTTGCACGGTACCAAATTGCATCTGTAATCTGGTCGAACGACCGGATTGGGCAAAAGGGGAGGGCGAAGAGGAAGGGAGTAGGAAAGGGGAGGAGAATGGGAGATGGAGAAGAGGGGGAGAGAAAAAGCAAAAAAAAAAAATTATAGGTGCCATGGCCGCTGGTTCTCTGCTTCGGGAGGGAGAGGGAAATGGTGAAGGAGAGTAGAGAGGGAGAGGGGAGCAGAGAGGGAGAAGAGGGGAAGAGAAAAAGGAAAAAAATTTGGGGAGAGGGGCTGCTGGTTCGTCTAGTTCAGCGAGGGAAGAGAGAGGAGGAAGGAAGGAAGGAAGAAGAAGAAGAAGAAGAAGAGAGGAAAGAAAAGAAAAAGGAAAGAAAGAAAAAGAAAGAGAAAGAGAAAAAGAAAGAAAAAAAAATAGTAGGGCTATGGCTATGGGGAACTGGGAAGGCAGAGGTAACGGGAAAGGGAGAAGAAAGAAGAAGAAGAAGAGAGAAAAGAAAAGAAAAAGGAAAGAAATAAAAAGAAAAAGAAAGAGAAAGAAAAAAAAAATTCTCCTTATAAAAATTTCTACAAAAAAGTTTTTCACCTTACAAAAATTTTTACAAAACTTTTTAAAAATGTTCCACAGTGCACTACAGTAAAGTTTTAAACAAACTCCAAAAAAACTCAAGTTCCAAACAGGCCATTAGATAGAAACTTGGATCTTTTCCCATCCTTTTTTTTTTCTTTTCTAACTTACCATTTCTCTTCTTTTCTTTTCTATTCTAAACTCCCAAACTAGCTACAAATCTCAGAGTTTGTAAATTTCACAAGATTTGAATAAAACCTAATAAATACATTAAATTATAAGACAAGTCTAATCAGATACTAAAATAAAATGGAAAAATTTAAAGTTAGAGGTTGCTTATAAGGAGTTTTTAATAAAAGTAGAAACAAACACTGTAGTTTGGGGAAAAAAACTAGAGTTTGGGGATGGATGTTTGCTATCCCATCTTAATTTGTGTTAGCACTACTCTTTAAGAAAGAACAAATGGGTAAAAATATTGGTGAAAGACAAAAGAAAATTTACAAGATGAAATTCTGATCAAACCAATTAAAGCCAATGAAGAGGCAAAATATTAATAGGTAATCCATAATAATATTTTATATGAAGAATTGTATTTGCATTAGACATATCAATGGATCAGATCTTATCCAAATTCAATCCAAACCCAATGTATTTGGATAGGGTTTGGATTTAATTTTCCAAATTCAGACCCTACCCTGATTCAGACATTGTAAAAGAATTATGAGTTTGGTTTAGGTCTGATTTTTTATGATCCATATCAAAATTCAAATAGATAGCAGATATTATCTGAACTCATGTATATATAATTAAATTATATATATTAATAAATTTAGAAAATATTCTAATATTCTATAGTCATGAGATCAAATATAGTAAGAATTCATAATTATTTTCTTTTTTTAATCTAATTCTAATTTTTATTGTAATTAGTACAAACTTTTTCACCAAAGGAAAAATAAATAAATAGTGAACGTCAAATAATGCCACCACTCTCAAAACTCAGTTTACACATGGCACAATGTGCTTGGTTTGAACTCTAGCACGCCAATCAACCCTGTTAGTAAATGGTGACCATCAAATCTCAAAAATCGAAAGTGTAAAATCTTAAAAATCAACTCAAAACGTAGTTACACATGGCACAATTTGGTTAGTTTGATTTATAGGATGCAGATTGAGCTTTGTTAGTAAATATTGACCATTAGATTCTAAAATTCAAAGGATAAATATGTGAGAAAATAGTAGTAGAGCTCTCTCTTCAACCCCTATAAATTACGCCGCCCATCATGCAAAATTAAAAAACCAAAAAAGAATATTTTCTTTCCCATCCTCTCTCTTCTTCCCTTTGTTTTCCATCTCAATTCTTCTCTTTCTTTCTCTCTCGTCTTCTCTTTCTTTCCTTTGTTTCTTAGATCCTATTTGATAATTCAATTCAACACTTAAATTTAATGAATTCAGATTTTAATATATTCAGATCATTTGATAACCAAAAATTGAATATATAAATTAATTAAGTGACACTGAATTCTCTAGACAAAACTTCCTCCCAAAATCAGTGATAAATTATTCACTTATCACTGAATGTGATATGCTCTCAAATATATTAAATTTAATACTTAATAATTCAATAATTTAATGAATTCATATTTCAAATTTTATTTTTTATATTTTAATTTTATCAAACGTATCCTTAGACTGATGGCTAGAAGAAGCAAGCGACCTTCAAGACCCATCAAGGAGTTTCGACATTTTCAGGAAATTCATGGATTATCTGCAATCCAACCAAGATGGCATTCTTCAATTGTGGCAGGAGCGCGCAACAACTCCGAATGGCAACCAACATGATTGGAGTACACGTAAGCATTTACAGCTTAAGATTGGAGTACACATAACTTCATTTTTGCATATCCCCAAGGATTATTGCATCTAACCAATTTTTTCTATTATTTTGTCGAGTAGACTAGGAAAAACAGATGCTCCAATTTATGGGTTTTTAACTTACCAAAATTGCCCTTTAAATTTTGTTCAGGGGGCTACTCCCCAATTAATGCCAATTTTGGGTGCATACAAGTACCCATAAGTTGTTAAGGGGCTTGAATTTTATTTCTCCTAGAAATACAGCGGGACCCTCATAATCAACTGCTGCTACTTGGTACTCACTCATTTAATAGCTACATCTTGCCCGGCCCCACAATGATGTGTTGTCCTACTTTCCTTTGCTCTTTCTAGCATGAGTCAGCTTTCCGCAGTAGATGAAACCAATACTTAATGTTAGCAGATGTGGCTCCTCCGATTCTTGAGATCCAACGGTCACTATTTACTAACAAGGATCGATCCGCGTGCTAGAGCTCAAACCAAGGACATAATGCCAAGTGTAAACTGCAATTCTTAAAAATTAACTCAAAATCGCAGTTAAACGTGGCACAATTTGGTTCGTTTGAACATTAGCACGTGTATTGAGCTCTGTTAGTAAATAGTAACCGTCAGATTCTTAATATTCAAGGGTCAAGATGTGAGAAATAAGTAGTGGAGCTCTCTCTTCAACTCTCTAATAAACTACGCCTTTCACCAGCCTTTCACCGTGCAAAATTGAAAAAACAAAAAAAGAATATTCTCTGTCCTGCCTTTTCTCTTCTTATCTCTCTACCTCTATCTTCTTCTCTTCTCTTAAGAAGATGGCTAAAAGACACAAGCGACTTACTCGGCCCATCAGGGAGCTTCAACATTTCAGAAAATTCATGGATTATTTGGAATCCAACTAGGATGGCGTTCTTGAACAGCTACAGGAGGAATTTGCAATGGCTTGTGCAGAAGCTCTGAAAGGTGACCAGCACGATCATCTGAGAGCTTCATTATCAATTTTGCTTCCTTGTCCTTTGATGGAGGTTGCTACTGAAATGGACTTAACCACAGTTTCTCAACTCAAGAGATGGTTCGGGTATGAAGGAGGAATTCAAATTTTGCGTCAAATAAGTAGCAGGGCAAAGAGAACCATTCTGGATATGGCTAGGCACAAGAGATTATTGTGATACTGTGATGAATATATGAAGGATGTATGGATTTTGTTTGGTTAGGGTTAGGGTTATTACTGGGAATGTTGTGTGGTTGAATTTGTAAATGGGTGTGAATATAAGGATTGATTCTATAAATAGGTAGGTTTTCAGTATATTGCGGTGAAAAAAAAAACAGGCTATGATGTTTTTGTTTACATATATTCGTGGATTATCTGCAATCCAACCAAGATGGCATTCTTCAATCGTGGCAGGAGGAATTTGCCATGTCTCGCGCAACAACTCTAAAAGGCAACCAACATGATTATTTGAGAGTCACACTTTTGTTTTGGCTTTCTCGTGCTTCAATGGAAGTTGCTATTGACATGAAATTAAATACATGTGGTGTATTTGGATTGCACCTTATTTACACACACTGATTTGTTTATATCATCAACACATTTTTAATTATTTTTTATTTTATATACGTCACATCAGAAAAGTACTATAGTATTTTAAAAAAATATTTCAAATAATCTTTCATCCAAAAATAGTGAGTTTACACTCTTGAGTTTCTCAACTCGAGTTGGTTTAGGTAGAAAGAAGGCATTCAAATTTTGCGTCAAATCAGTGGCACGTCAAGGAGAACAATTAAGGATTTGGCTATAGCGCGGGAGATTACCGTGATGAATTGATGAACATATGAAGAAGATTTTGGATTTTGGTTGGTTATGTGGTTATTATCTAGTTATTGTATAGGGTTAAGGTTGTTATTACTGATAATGTACAGTGGGCTATAAGGTTATAAATGGGTAGATTTT